ATATACAGAAAGCATTGCTCTGTTACCACAAAATATATAAGGCAAAGGGATCTGCACCTATAACAGTTTGTTAAAGAATTAAAATTTTTAATCTAGTTTCCAAATTTCTTATAATGTTGACATAACATTTTAACGGTGAAAATATTAAACAGATAAGATTTTACCATTAATATGGTATTAACTATATTAACTTTAAATTTGTGCAGTATTACACTAAACAATTTAAGACAGTAATCAGTCCACAAAGTTTTCTATCACAATGACATATAGCAATCTTATCATTCTTACAATACAGGAATCTTAGAAATCAGAGGCAGCAACTAAGCTAGAACAGAGGAAATCTGCAGCAAAAACCTTAGAGCTGGGGCTGGGGATTTAGCTCAGCGGCAAAAGCGCCTGCCTGGCAAGCGCAAGGTCGTGAGTTCGGTTCCCAGTACTGGAAAAAAACCAAAAAAAAAACCTTAGAGCTAACTTCTCCCTATGTGAGAATGTTAAATGAGGGAGTCAATGACAGGGTCCTGTATTACATACCTGCAACCAATACAGAATATAGATTTTATGGTAAGGAGATCATAATAAATCAAGGAGAAACCTGGACTTAAAAAGATGGCATTCACAATTGGTACTGGAACAATCAGGATATCCATATGCCAAAGAATAAAACTGGACATCCTTCTTTATGTCATACATAAAAACTAACTTGAAATGGATCACAGACCTAAGAGATAAAATTATAAGATATTTAGAAAGAATATGAGCAATTCTTCAAGATATTGGGTTAAGTAAAGCTTCCTATGACATTAAATACCAGAAGTACAAAAAAAATAGATAAACTGGATGTCATAAACATTAAAAACTGTGCAGCAAAAGTTAAGAAAATAAAAGACATCAAGAAAGTAAAAAGAGAATTCATAGAATAAGATAAATTAGTTGTGAATCATATTATCTGAGAAGACACTGATATGCAAAGAACTCTTTCAATTTCACAGTAAGACAAATAATCCGATTTAAAAATGTACAAAGGGTCCGAATAGACACCCTTCCAAAAAGTGATGACCAATAACCACATGAAAATAGCAATGAGGAAAAAACAAATCAAAATTACAATGAGACGAAACTTTATACCCATGAGGATGGCTAACATAAAAAGATAACAACAAGTGTTAGCAAAGATATGGAGAAACTGGGACCCTCATACATTGCTATGAGAATGTAAAAGTGGTGCAGACTCTAGAAAACAGTCTGTCAGTTCTTCAAATCTTAAAGAATTACATGACCTAGAAATCCCACTCATAGGTATACCTGAGGAAAATGAAAACACAAAACTAGTACAAAAGCTAGCACAATTAAAGGTAACAGCAGCACTGTTCACAACAGGAACAATCTAAACATCTATGGCTGTTCATGAGTGATTTGTGATCACAAAATTTTAGTATTTTTATTACAAAGTAGGACCCTATATTTTAAAAACAGGACAGACTCTAATGTCTATGGAACTCTTTTCCAAAATTAAACTTGTAGCTACCAAATAATTTTAAAGATAAGAGAGAGAGAGACGGCTGCTTTTCCAAAAGAATTTGCTAAGCAATAGCCTCTGTAGGTATGAATATGCTTGGACATTTCAGAATTACTTATCACATATGGAAATCTACTAACACTGTATGTATGGTATAAGATGAAAATAAGAATAGTTATTTAATGAAAAAGTCAAGCTACTATAATTTCTCAAACAAAAAGGTAAAGATAAGATGAATAATTTGGTATCACAGCAAGAAAATATGTGATGATACACCAATAATTGGCGGAGTATGATTAGGCAACATATCTAAATGGATTTTCTTGAAAAGCTGGAATTTTAGAGATGAATATATAATCTCATACCTGCTTCAATTTACTGTTAATTTCTGTTCTCTAGTAACTCTTCTATCTCAGGAATAGCTAAAAATCTGGTACCTTACAAATGCTTCCATGGAGCTGAGTGCAGCGGCTCACACTTGTAATCCCAGCTACTTGGGTGGCTGAAGCACCGGGATCACCAAATTCAATGCTCATCTGGGCAAGTTATGGTTACATTTTAAATTTTTTTAAATGAATGTTGTTTGGGGCAGGGGGTAGTTCAGTGGCAGAGTGCCTCTGCGTGCAATCCCCAGCACCACCAAAAATGGGGAAAAAAAACTACCTCAGAAGATGGACGAAATAGGAAAGTCATTTTATGAAGAATGGTAGAGGAATTTAAGATTTACAGTTGAGGGTGATTAGGGAAAAGAGCATACTGCCTTAATCAAACCTATCTAATGACTATGATGAAAAAAAACAAGAAATAATGGAGATATATGCAGGGAAAGGCCTGGAATCTGAAACATCAAGCCTATGCATACCCTGCTTCTTAATGGGGTAAGAAAAAAAGTGAGATCATCTCAGATAGGAGAAGCTAGACTAAAGACAAAGACCATGGGTACTTATTTGTATTTGGGATGTTCAAGTGATTAAACTCTGAGAAAGAGCTAAGGTTATCTTCAAAAGAAAAGGTGAAACCAAAAATGAAAATCCTCTGTTAATGAAATAGGTGGTGAAAAAAAGCAACTTGTAGGATCACGTGGTGGCGCCCAAACATTTTGTTTTTATCTTTTACAGAGTCCCCTTAGGGCAAAAGAGCCTCAATTTATCTCCACAAAATTCTCCAATGGAAAAAGAATTCTGTGATAGCAATGAGTCGTATTTGAATCATAATACACATATCTTAAACTGAAGATACTAGAATCAGGCTTGGTCAGGTATGCCTGTAATCCCAGCACTCTGGAAGGCTGAAACAGGAAGATCACAAGTTCAAGGCCAGCATGGACAACTTAGTGAGCCCCTGCCTCAAAAAAAATGTTTAAAAAGAGTTGGGGATATTATTCAGTGAAAATACCATGGGTTCAATCCCCAAGCCATTAAAAAAAAAAAATACTAGGAAATTGTAAGTCAAAATTTAGTTGAGGGTTGGCGATAGAGCTCAGTGGCACAAGCGTCTGCCTGGCAAGCATAAGATCCTGAGTTCAATTCCTGGTACAAAAAAAAATTTAGTTGACACAAATATAGTATATACTACTATTTGGTTAAGGACATATGATCACAACAAACTAAATTCATAACACTAAATTAAAGTGATTTATCATATAAAACAAGAATAATACCACCTAAAAAATCACAAGCCACTCAAGACAACACTGATGGTACCCTGATAAGGAATCCTTACAGGAGGCTCCAGTGCGACCTTTGTTAAGCTGCCAATGCAGTTCAGCAGCCTAACAAAGGTCCTAATTTCCTAATACTGAAATGCTAGTAACATTTTATTTTATAAAAACCAAATATTTATAACCACTGGTGATGTACTTAGGAGAGTATTACTAAGTAGCCCCTAGTTCTTATAAAAGTAAGACTACGAAATGAGGATAACTGACCTTTGGAAGCTTAAGAAAATGGGAATTGAGAAGAGCATGATGATCATAATCATAATGCCAAGGGTGGAGGTGAGAATTGGGTAACAGAACTGGTCTCATAAAGGGAGCCAAAAATCCCTTTAAAGGGACAAAAGGCAAACAACTACTACTACTACTACTACTACTACTACTACTACTACTCCGAGGATGGTACTGAGAACTGTGCTAACAATGTGCTGGGGAGAAGGAAGTTGCATAGATGGAGATGTGGAGTAGTCTCCAGCCTACTCTTCCTCTCTTCCTTCCACCACTCTTTCCTGAGGTACTTCTCTTCATGGGGGGAAGCAATGAGTACTAACTTTTTTGAAGGAAGGAGCAATGACTCAAGACTGTTCAAAAAGGGTAAAAGTATTATCTATACACTGGTTGCATGGAGATCAGAACGCACCACAGACAAAGAGGAGGATTAACTAGTTCTGTACCACAGGTAAACTGAGGGAAAAGGGAAAAGTAGTTCAAAATTGGGCTTGGTGAGTCATTATCAACAAGAAGTAGCAGAGATAGTAATCCTCAACTAACACAGAACAGTATTTAAACATCTGTGGGCTGAGGTTATTGCTCAATAGTAGAGGAATTATTGCCTAGTATGCTACAAGGCCTTGGATTCCATCCCTAGAACAGGGGTTGAAGATGGGAGGGAGTGTGTGACTCACTTTCTCTGTGACCTTGGGCAAGTCACTCAACCTCTCTGTACCTTATCTGTAAAATGAGAGTAATAATATTACCTACCTAATAGGACTGTCTTATGGTTTAAATTATATTTGTACATCATTTAACACAATGTTTTGTGCTACATATAACAAGTGCTACCTAAGTTTTGTTCCATAAGTTAAAGAAGGTCAGAGTTTGCTTTGACATCTCCAGATAAAATAGTGCAGAGTATGGTAATAGGGTGCGGGGAGTGCAGATGGGTTAAATTTTCCTCAGCGATGTGAACACCATAAGGCTGCACCCAGGGAAGGGGCTGTCTACCTAACAGTGTTCAAAGAGCACCCGGGCGCTGTCTAAAGGAAACTTGCTTCCTTTCAGGGCCTAGGATTTTCAGGAACTCGTTCTTTGAGTAGTTGTGATTTTTTCAGGCAAGCATTAAATTTCGCACAACAGACTGCAGAGTGAAATTCTGTTCTGTCTAAAGATCAGGACTTTCGTCTATGGCAGAACAGGGGTGGAGTCGCTGGGAGAAGGGTGATGTCCCCCAGGGGACGATCTACCACCATCTGTCAGGCGGTCCCCAGGTCCCCAGCGCTGGGCTGCCCCGGGAGGCAGAATGAAGGCTAGCCTGCCAGGCGAGGCACACCGAGCCTTCCAGCAACAGTCTGTGGGGTGCGGGCGGTCAGGAAGGGACCCGGGTCTGACTTGAACAGAGAGACCCGCCTCGCCCAGGACGCAGGTCCCAGCCGGTCTCTGCACAGGGCGGCGCCGACGCTGGCCCTGCGGGCGCCGGCCAATACACAAATCCCAGGAAGTCTGCCCGTCCCGCCCGTGCCCGCCCGTCGTCGGCCCTGGTACCCAGGGTACCTGAGCGTGGGCCCGATGCAGGCCGTGTCTGTGCTCTCAATCTCTCTCAGGATACGCTCGTGCTCCGCCGCCGACTCCAGGCTCTCCGCCTCCGCCATCTTAGCCCGCTCCATAGACTGGGGGCGCCGGGCACCGTTTCCCCTCCTTCAGCTAGGCTCACCTTTCACTCCTCACACTCCCTCTCACCCCAGGCTCCACAGCCGCCCCAGCCTCCAGCAACCAGCAGCCCGCAGTTCGACCCCTCCCTCAGGCTGGCCACGCCCCCTTGCGTCATCGCGTCCATGACGTTCGCGCGATCCCCGCTGGGATTCGCAGTCCTCTGGGCGTTACTAGGCTAGGTCCGTTCGCTAAATCATTGATACCCTGTAAGTGCTGACAGCCCTATAAGCCAGGAACAGTTAACAGCACTGTGTATATAGTGATGATCAAGCCAGACAATGGCACTAGCCTTACAAATTCATGTTTAAAACCTTTGTCCCAAAGTGCAAACAGTTCTGTAGGAGTGAAGAGAAAAAACTAGACGTCTGCTGACATCTCACAGAAGGAGGGTGGGGAGCATGGGACAGAGCTGGAACATCTGAAACTACAGTACAAGGCAGAATGGTGCTTAACAGTATTTCAGAGAATCGCCTTCAGGAATCCCTTCTGGTCGTGAAGGCTTCGTAGGGACAAAGCTTGGAAAGTTAAAGGGTGTGACTGCAAGGTGTGAGGAGCACCCAGACAGTCCTCAAGAATTTAATTTGCACTACCGTAAAAGAAGTAGTGATAAGAAATTGGGGCTGGCAAGGCATCTTAAGAGAATTTGTGAAGAGTTTTAAATACGGGGGAGGGGATTGTATTTTATTCTGATGGTTCCCCCAATCCAATAGACAACTCTATCAGAAGCACCTGGAAACTATTTTTCAAACACAGACTAAGAGTCCTTCATCTGGGGATTCTGATCCAAGCATCTGCATTTCATAAACTCCTTAAAATATAACTCTATAAGTCAGATTTATTGGGATTTACTATGGTGGTTGAAGGGACAGCAGTGATAACACGTCGTACTGGAAAGAACTGGATTTTCGTTTCAGGTCACCATCAGAAAGACTAAGTTTCCCACATAGTAAGGATCAGGAGATCTCATCCTGACTGCAGAACTATCCCTGATTACAGAATCTTAGGTTGTGTCTCCCACTTCATCCTTCCAGACCATCCCACCATAGTATTACTATGGTGGTTGAAGGGACGGCAGTGATAGCACGTCCTACTGGAAAGAACTGGATTTTCGTTTCAGGTCACATCAGAAAAACTAAGTTTCCCACATAGTAAGGATCAGGAGATCTCATCCTGACTGCAGAACTATCCCTGATTTGATTATATCAAATTTTAAAAACTTCTACACAGCAAAGAAAACAACCAAGAGAGTGAAGAGAGAACCTACAGAACATGAAAAAATTTTGCCAGCTATTCCTCGAGCAGGAGTCTAACATCTAGAATATAGGAAGAACTCAAAATATTAAACCGTCTAAGATAAAAGACCCAGCTGAGCATGGTGGTGCATACCTGTAATCCCAGCATTCAAGAGGCTGAGGCAGTAGGATCACCATAATAATAAATAAAAGACCCAATCAAAAAATGAGCAATCAAAATGAATAGACACTTCTCAGAAGAAGTACAAATGACCAATAAATATGTGAAAAAATGTTCAGCTTTGTTGACAATTAGAGAAATCTAAATTAAAATGACAGAGATACCATCCTATGTTGGAAAGAGTGGCTATCATCAAAAAATCAAATATTAACAAATGCTGGTAAGAATGCAGGGAAAAATGGCGCTCTTCTACATTGTTAGTGGAAATTTAAACTAGTACAACCACTATGGAGATCAGTGTGGGGATTCCTCAAAAATTTAAAAATAGAAACTCCATTTGACCCTGCTATTTCCCCTTTAGGTACCTTCCTGAAAGAGTTGGAGTCATCATATGCAGTGATACACGCATACCCATGTATATAGCAGTACAATTTATAATAGCTACATCAGGGGAAAGGCCTAAATGCCCACCAACAGGTGAATAGATAAAGAAAATGTGATATTTCTGCACAATGGATTACTACTCTGCCATAAAGAAGGATAAACTTGAGGCATCTGTAAGTAAATGGATACCTTCAAGACCATAATGTTCAGTGAAATAAATCCAACACACATTTAAATATTGCAATGATTTTGCTTATATGAGAAACCTGAAATATAAATAAAGAGCCAAATAAAAGATAATAGGAAGAAGGGAGATCTTCCTCAAATGGGAAGAGGAAGAAGGGGTACAAGGTGTTGTGGGGGAGAGAAGGGAAAGGAGATAAAAAGAAAATTTAAGAAAAACATGGAAATAGAGCTTTTGCAGATGGGAAAGGGAGCAAGAGTTGGAGGGATCAGGGAGAGATGAGAGGGAAAATGGGACCAAAAAGGCAGAATTAAGATGGGTTATGTACATGTAGAAACTCCACTCTGGTAAATGTAATCACTACGTACTACAAACAGGTACTAATGAAAGAATAGACAGAATATCCATATACGTTTATACAGCCATAAAATGGTACAGAGATATAATTTTCCTGAAAGGGTACACCCAAACTTTTAACAGTTAGCAGCAGCCAGAAGATAGATTGAAAGGAAAGGGACTGAGTAGGAAGAAAGTAATTTTTAATTATGTATCATTTTCACTTTTGGAGTTAGTTTCCTTGTGCATGTATTGCTTTTTTAATAAAAATATTTATTATTAAATAAATTTACATTTAAAAAATAAGCCAGTAGTGAGGAGAATGGGTTACAAGTCCTGGTTTGCAGGAATGGAGCAAGTTGCTAAACCTGTCTGTTTCTGGGTAATCCCTGGCTGTCCTCGTTTTATTCTATTACTCATGCTTAAACAATTTCAGGCAGATGCAGGAAAGATGGAGCCTTTCATATGTCTAAAGGTCTCTTGAAATATATGACAGAGGTCCCATCAGGCACTCATTTTAGCAACGGCCAAAAGCTTTTCATCCATCACAGGAAAGTGATTAATGTGTAGACCAAACATGTATAGTAGTGGACTTAATTCCACTACTTTTAGGACTTTGTTGTTTTGTTTTGTTTTGTTTTGTTTTGTTTTGTTTTGTTTTGTTTTGTTTTGTTTCAGCCACTGCAGAGGCCAGATGCCCAACATCTTACCTACAAGGGTGTGTGAGTCCCAAGAGACTGATACAAAAAAAAAAAAAAAAAGATGCAGTAAAGATAGACACCTAATGTTAAAAATGCCCTCCAAATAAAAAGGTCAGGTAAGTGTGAAATGACCAGAAAGCGCTAGACTAAGACTTGGAGTCCCTTTGATTCAATTCCAGCATTAGTAGTTAGCAGCCAACTGTATCAGAATCTGCAGATACAGGACCTTTAGTCTGTATTTTGAAAAGAGGCTCCTCACTGGAGCCATTGATAATAGGAATCATTAGAATAAAATACAGATTTCTCCACTCAATGCTTAAGGCTCTTCACAATTTTTCTCCAAGGTAATTTTCCAGGGACAATATGCAAAGGAAGCATTCCATATACACCAACCACATTAAATCCTTAAAATACTCCTTTTATAGTAGGTATCATGTGTCCTACTCTATGGATAAGAAGTCTGAAATATTAGGTAGTACCCCTACATCCCATAGCTAGTAAATAATGAAGCTGGTATTCAAACCATGTCCACTTGATTCAAAGGCCCATTCCTAACCAATAACCCAGGAATGGTGAACCTTTTAGAGACAAGTGCCCAAACTGCAACCCAGAACTCACTTATTGCAAAGTGCCAACACTGTAATTAAACCCAAATAAATACTGAGGTTTTAGTTTAGAATAAAACAATTCATACATTAACATCTTTTGTCTTAAAAGAAAAATAAACAGCACATGTGCCATAGGTTCACCACCATGGATAGCCTGTGCTTTCGGTCCCACCCATTCCTTCCACTGCCGGGAGTTATTGTGTGAGTTTAAGCAAATCATTCTGCCTCTGCATCTATATCATTTCTGAGGCCCCTTCCAAATCACCTTGGTGATCTCGTCACAAAGTGGCATTCCCTTAATTACTCAAATGAACTTTGTTTTCTCTTCGGCATCCGTAGTTATACATCACTATCCTCACAGCTCCTTCCTGCCACATCTAGATTGTTGTTCCAACAAGTGATTCTTCAACTCTCCTTTGAAGTCTAGGGCATCAGAGATGCTGTGGCCATGTGCAAATATTCATATTCCTCAGAAATTTTACCACTTGGCTCTTTTATCCTTCTCACCCCACTCTCTGCCATTATCCTGAGTTTCTTCAACATCATCATGGAAAACCCATCTAACACCCTGTCCTCACAGATCCCTATTGTTCCAGCCAGGTCCTCCTGCAACATTTGTCATGTATCCTTGGCCTCACCTTCTACCTGAATATTCCATAAACACAACAGCACTGAAAAAAAGTCTATAAACAGCAAAGCTGTGAAGCTGTTATCTCTCTCTCTCTTCATGTCTAGTTTTTATGACCTACATTTTAATCTCAATCTTCATCCCTAATTTCAGTGAGCACTTTTAATCAGTTATTACTTTTCCCCTTCTATCTTGGACTTTCTTCTACCCCATACTCCAATGAAAAGAGATCTAACTATTAATCATCAGGTGAAAGTGAGAAAGTCACATGGCTTCCCAAAGCTGCAGTTTCCTCATATATAAAATGGAGCTTATCACCTATACCTAAGGCAGTTGAAAGAAATAATTGGATGGGAGGGAGCCTCAGTTGTAGAGCACATGCTTAGCATGTCAAGGTTCTGGGTTCAATCCATACCACCAAAGAAAAATAAGAAGGGAAGAAAGAGAGGGGGAGAGAGAGAGGGGATGAATATAAAGAGCTTCACACTAGCTGCTAGCTGCGTGTATTCCCAAGAGTCACGAATTTGACTAAACCTAATTCTTTAATTCTCTAGCTTCCTTTAACAACACTGTCTTTTATCATACCCACACTATTAACCTCTCCCTTTCTACTGTAGTGCTGGAAAGACTGCAACCATGACAACCAGTACCATAACACATCTGTATCACCTAACATCATTTGGGCCCTTTGGGACATTCAATCATCCATTGACTTATATTCCTATTTACAGTATCCTTTCAAAATCCTTTCTTCTCTACCTAAGACCCCAGCTCAGCTCTCCACTTTCCTCATTCTTATGAAATACCTTTGCCTCCCACTTCATTGACAGGCCTACC